GACAGAAAACAAAGGAGAAAGAGATGGATAGGCAGAAACTGTGTGTGATAAAGACAGACAAGAAAGGAGAAAGAGGGAGACGGATAGACTGTGAGAGAGAGACAGACAGACAAGCAGAGAAAAAAAGAGATGCAAAGACTGAAAGACAAACAGAGACAGAAGAAAGGAAGAGAAGCGACAGAAAGCCTGTGTGTGTAAGAGAGAGAGGAGGAAAGAGAGCTAGGTAGATTAAGACAGACACACTGTGTGTGAGGGGGGCGGGGCGGGCGGGGAGAGAGAGAGAGGCAGACAGAGATGAAAGAGGCTAGCCCCAGGTTCAGCCTCAATTCCTGGTATCTGGGTGTCTGTGCTTGTTTATCATTCCAAATAAGCACCGTTTCCCTAATGAGACACTGCTTCTAGCACTAAAAATGTCCAAGCCAAGCCAGTGCCCCTCCCTGATGCTCCCCAAGGCCCATGCTCTGGCCAATGCCACAAGCACCACGCTGAGTTGTCACTATCCCGTCCCTGTCTGCCACCCCTGCAGGATTCTGCGCGCTTTGAAGTAAGGTCCCTGGTCTTACTCATCTTTGCGTTCCCAGGGCCCAGCAGGAGCCCTCGTTCCTAGCAGGTGCTCAGTAAGTATTTATGAGCCAGGAAAGCTTTTCCCACTCTCCTGTCCCTGATCCCATTCCCAACTCACCCTCCTTTGCTTTACATCTTCTTCCCCTACCCACCACTTCTCCCCCTCCTCACCAAATGTTACAGGCTGACTTGTGTCTCCCCCAGGATATAGCTTGGAATCATAACCCTTAAAGGGCAGTTAACAACAACAACAAACCTGTGGTTGTGATCCCCTGTGGGAATAGGGTTTTATTTGTTATGTGAAAGAGGCCAAGATCAGTGTAGCTTAATGAAAGGAGCAGATGAGCCAGCGAGCTGAGAAGCAGAGATGGCTGAAGACAGATCCTACATGAAGCTTGTCAAAGAACACAGCAACAGAAGCTGAAAACCAACAAGGACCTTCCCTCAGAGTAGACAGAAAGATTTCCCCTACAGTCGGCACTCTGTTCACTGTGAGAAAGTACATTTCTGTGAAGCTTCACACTTGTGGTATTTCTGTTATACTAGTATTAGAAAACCAAAACACCAAACTCACCCAGTGCCTCACTTTCCAAGGTGGAGATGCTATATCCAGTCATTTCTAAAGTAATATAAGCTGGGTGCACCCAGCTGGAGGCCTCATTTCCCATCCTTCCTTGCAGCCAGCCATGACCATGTGTCTGGAAGATATTCAAAATATCTATGCACCCAAGACAGCACAAGCACTACCCAATCAGTACTGACAGCTGGCCAATCAGAATGAACTCTGACTGCAACAACCATTACATCAGCCCTGGCCATGTGACCACTTCTTACCAATACAATTGCTCAAAAGGTCAGTACTAGGACAAGGAGGTCTATTTTCACCATAGCCACTCAACACTGTACTGAAATCTCTAGTCAAAGCTATTAGACAACAGAAAGAAGGAAAAGGCATCCAAGTCAGAAAAAAATAGAAGTAAAACTATCTTTCTTTAAAGATGACATGATTCAGCCTCTGAGTTCAAACCACTGACATTTAGGTTAGAAGCCCAACACTTAACCATGGTGATGGTGGTGGTTTGCCATCGAATCAAGTCTGGCTCAGAGCAACCCTGTATAAGGGTTTCCAAGGAGTGGCTGGTGAGCTTGAACCACCAAGCTTTTGGTTCAAATAGACGTTATAGTCGAGTGCTTATTCTACAGCGCCACACTTAACCATATAACCCAGCAATGCCACTCCTAGATATGCACCCCAAAGAATCGAAACAGATACTAATACAGCGATGTTCATTGAAGTATCATTCACAATAGCCAAAAAGTGAAAATAACTCACATGTCCATCAGCAGATGCATGGATAAATAATCTGTCATCTATTCAGGCAATAGAATATTATTCTTCCATGAAAAGCAATGAAGTTCTAATACATGCTCAGACATGGATGAACTTTGAGAACATACTAAGTGAGAAAAGCCAGACACAAAAGGCCCCAAATTACCCTGCTAGTAATTTGCAATGCCAGTGGCATTGCATCATCGCAACAAGCAAGCCACCATAGTCTGACAAGCTGCCTGTCCATCAATGCTGTTGTTAAGTGCCATTGAGTTGGTTCCAACTCATAGCGACCCTGTATAGGATTTCCAAGGAGTGGCTGGTGAATTTGAACCACCAACTTTGCAGATCAAACTGACCTTGCGGTGCAGTGTGTATCCTACAGCACCACTCCAGGATTCCTGTCCATCAATAGCCCTGTATTTTTCCTTTACATTTAAACAGGTGAGAAAATGAAAGCTCTAAGAGCCAAGTTAGCCATCATACTGTGTTTGTGAACTTTTCATTACTCCTCATTATCCTGAACAAGGTGGATGTCTAATACATGGATGAAAAAGTTATACACCCAACTAAAAAAGAAAGGACAAATAATATATGAGCCCATTTAAATGAAATGTCTAAAAAAGCTAATAAGCACATAGAGACAGAAAGTAGATTAGTGGTTGCCAAGGGCTTGGGGTTCTGTTATAGCACTGTAGAATAATGCACTGGACCGAAAGGTTGGTTTGAACCGCAACATCAGTGGTTCAAACCCACCAGCCACTCCTCGGAAACCCTAGACAGAGTCACTATAAGTCAGAACTGACTCGATGGCACTTAACAATAACAAGGATCTGCGGGGGAGGGAAGAATGGTACTGCTTAGTGGATATTGAGTTTCTGTTTGGGGTGATGAAAAAGTTTTGGAAATCATAGTGATGTTACATAATACTGTGTGTGTCATTAATAACACTGGATTGTATATTTGAAAGTATTTAAAATGGCAATTTTTAAATGTATTTTACTACAATTTGTTAAAAGGCAATTGCTCTAGAAAGATTAGATAGGACCTTTAAAGGGCAGTGAGTCCATGGTACTATGAAAGGATCAACTCAGGCATGGAGTAAGAAGGGCTGCAAAAGTCAAAAAATGTAATCCATGTCATTAAATGGGACATGGAGAAATTGTTGAACTGGCATATGTCTTGGTCTGTATGTTCTCAACAATAACAACAAAAGAAATGAAATTTAAAGAGAATACCTATCTTTGTAGTTAGTTATAACAACAACGACAAAAAGCAACTGATTGCTTTCCACTTCCTCTCTATGGCCTCCTTCTCACAAATTAGCCATCAGACATGCTTACGATCCAGCTTCAACTGTGCAGAAGGAAGATGGCAGAGCCTCGGAGAGCACGATCCTGGGTCCTGAATGACTACATGGAGCAGCTGACCCCTGACAACCTAGTGTGCTCAGCTCTGTCTGGATGGTTGTTATGTGAGAGAGGACCAACCTTCTATCTTGTTTGGGCCACTGGGTTATAACTGAACCAGGATATCTCATTAAGTCAAATCAAAACTGTCATCACGTGTAAGATGCGCAGTATTTTGTTATTAATACTTTGTCAGTGAGTTGATTCTAACTCATGGGGACCCCATGTGTGCAGCACTGCTCCATAGAGTTTTCAAGGTTGTGACCTTTCGGAAGATCACCAGGACTGCCTTCTGAGGCACCTCTGGGTGAGTTTGAACCGCCAACTTTTCAGCTCATAGTCAAGCACGGAACTCTTTAAGCCACCTGGGGACACGTCAGTGGACAATTATCTTATGCACCATAAAGGGAAAAACAAAACAAAACATTGCCAATTAAATCATGATAAGCCATCAAATTTAAGACCCAACTTGATTTTAAAGACATTAAAAATGTTTGTTTGTTTTTAATGTGCATCTTAGAATTAGGAAACAGAACTATATTCACTGTATGCCAAGTGCTTTCCCCAAATTATTTGATTGAACCCCAGAAAACTCAAAACAAATGCATTACGATAGAGTTGACTCTGACCCCTAGCGACTCTGTGTTCCAGAGTAGAATGATCCCACTGGGTTTACTAAAGTCTTTATAGAAGCAGATCACTAAGCCTTTGTTCTCCATGCCAGTAAGTGGCTTTGAACTACCAACCTTGAGATTACCAGCCCAAAGCCTCTCCTATTGTGCCACCAGGGTTCCTGTTTAAATCCCAGAAGGAAGACCCAATGATATCCACTTTACATAAAAGGAAATGTTGCTTAGGGACCAGATGGTGTCCCTCCAAAAGATGAGTTGGAATTCTAATGCTTGTTTCTGTGGATATAATTCTGTTTCCAAATAAGCGTTTTCTTTGTGAAGTTACTTGGATCATTCCTGAATATTGTGGGTTCTCAGAGTATTTCTGGATTGTAAAAGGAGCAGGGTAGATGAAGGAGACACAGAGATGCCTAGCTGGGAATGTCTACACGCCAAGAAAGGAGTCCTGGTGGCACAGTGGGTTAAGCATTGACCTGCTCCTGACAAGGCTGGCAGTACAAACCCACCAACCACTAGGTGGGAGAAAGATGAGGCTGGCTGCTCCCATACCGATTTACAGTTTGGGAAACCCTAAGGAACGTAGTGGTTATGAACTGGGCTGCGAACCACAAGATCAGCAGTTCGAAACTACCGGGAGAAAGGTGAGGCGTTCTGCTCCCATAAAGATTTACAGCCTCGGAAACCCTGTGCAGGGTCGCTCTGAGTTGGAACCGACTCCACCGCACAGAGCTACAATAACATGGGGCAGTTCTACTCTCTCATAGATCTGCCATGAGTGGGAATCAACTTAACGAGAGTGGTTTTGGGTGAGTTCAAGCCAAGGAACCAAAAAAACATCCAAGCCAACCGACAACGACAATCAGGCCCAGATTTAGATTTTTAGCCTCAAGAACTGTGAGAAAATCGATTTTTGTGCTTTAAAGCCACCCAGGTGTGGTATTTCTGTTATGATAGCCCCAGGTGACTAAGGTACTGAGGCTCTGACAGGGAACACGGTCCATTTCAGACCACTTAGCCATCCAGCACCCCACACCCTTCCCCTTTCCCCCGGGCCCCCCCCCTCACCTGTGCAGGCTTTCCCCGCGGTGGGTGCGGTTCTGGGCGCGACAGTCGTGGCCGAGCTCGGGCAGGAACCCATAGTCACGCAGCAGGGCCTGGGCACCTCTGGCCACTACAGCCACACCAGCCACCACACGGCGGGCCAAGTCGTCCCTCCAGCCAGCAGAGCGCACAGCGAAGAGGCCGGCAGGCAGCGGGGCGCCTCCGGGCAAGAGCAGGGGCTCCCCAGGCGCCCCCGAACCCCCGCCCCCAGCCAGCTGGGGCCCCACTATGAACCACACGTAGCCAGGCCCAGTGAGGCCGGCCTCATCCGCGGCCCGGAACACCGGCTCGGCCTCCTCCCGCGCGCAGAAGAGCAGGCGGATCTGAGCGCTGACACTGCGGAGTTGGGCCCCCAGCACGGCCTCGCCAGCCCCGGGGTCCAGCAGCAGTGCCCCCCGATGCTCCCAGCCCACCAGGCTGCCGTCCGTCAGCACCTCGATGTAGGATAGGAAGGCCCGGTGGCCCGGAGCTCGTGTGGTCACCGCCACGAAGGATGTCCAGTCGTACTCCTCCAGCACCTCGAAGATGACCTGAAGTTGCTGCTCTGTGGAAGAGCCCAGCTGCAGGAAGGTGGAGCCCTTCTCCTGCAGGGGAGGGTCAGTGGTCAGTGTTGCTGAGGGCGGGGCCCACCAGAGGACCTCACCTCCCAGAAGTCCACAAGGGATCTGGCCTCCCAGGGGACCTCACTCCCCCTGGCCCACCCGGGAGGTCCTTCCCAGTGGCCAACCACCATCTCCCAGACTCAGAAAAGGGAACCACAGCTCCCAGATGCCAATGTGGGAGACTCATATCCTAGCAGCTAGTGAGGAGATCCCCATCTCCCCATTGTTGACAAAGAATGACATCTGCTGCTAACTGGGGGATCATTATTCCCAGGGGCTACAACAGTCTCCAAGCTCCCAGTGGCCAAGAGGGACCCTCACCTCCTAGTCACTAATAGATAAGACCTCAGCCCTGATCAGCCAGTGAGGAGGCCCACAGCTCCCAGGGGGCGACAAGAGACCCAGAGCTCCCAGTGGCCAACAGCAGGTTACAGCTGTCAGTATGATGAACTAACAAGCTCTTCACCCATACCGCCCGCCAAATAAAAGAAACAAGAATAGTTGCTATCAAACTGATTCCAATTCATGCTAATCCCGTGCATATCAGAGCCTACCTATGCTCCATAGTGTTTTCAATGGCTAGTTTTTTTTCTGGACTAAATTGCCTGGTTCTTCTTCCAAGGTGCTTCTGGGTCAACTCGAATCTCCCACCTTTCAGTCAGTAACCACACCTGTTAACTGTTTGCACCACCCAAGGATTCTGTCCATGCACTGATTTCATTTTCCTTTTGGGACACGGACAGCTAGACCTGGTTAGCTTTAGCCTTGTGGCTGTTCACAAGGCCTCTCTCCCCACCCCATGAACGGCTGCGCTTTCTCTGCCTGTGGCCAGATGTAGAGACCCCAGGAAAGAATTCTGGGGGTCCTAAGGGACCTCAAAAGGAAGAAGCACAAAAGCAAAGTAGCCTGAGTCCTTGAATCACCACCTGGAGGAGATTGGTCTCCAATCAGGAACACCGCTTTGGATTTTATATGAGTGAGAAACAACCTACTGTGTTGAGCCACTTAGATGTGGGGGTTTCTCTGTTACAACAGCTAAAATAACCACAATTTCAGAACCCAGTGTGGGAACTATAGCTCCCTGCATTCAATGGGAGGGACTCTTTGCTGTGTACGAGAGGAATCTGCATTTCCCAGCATGCAACAAGGGCTAGAGGGACTACATTTCCCAGAATGCAACGAGGGTGATGAATGAAAATTTGCTGAAGGGACTTTCCCCTCCTCTGGTTTTTTTCCTTACTCCCTCTTCGTCTTTGCACATTTCTTCCTCAGTCAGGCTTTTCACTGTAGGCGTTCCCTCCTCAGCTCCTCTGTCCTCTCTCCTAGGTGATCTCATCCAGATCCATGGGTTTAATTACTGTCTCCTGCGTTGTCCAATATGGTAGCTACTAGTCGCAAGTCCAAAATCGACTCGACAACACTTAACAACAACAACAGTCAAGAGTCCTGGTGTGGAGTTGTAGGATAAGCACTGGACTGCTAACCTCACGATCGGCGGTTCAAACCCACCAGCCCCTCTTCGGGAACCCTATACAGAGTCACTATTGTCACTCCATAGCACGTCACAACAACAGTCTTGCGTGACTATTCAAATGTAAATTGACATGAAATAAAACTTGTCCTCAGATACACTCACACACGTCATATGTCATATGTGGTGGCTACCGGATTGGATTCTGCAGATATAAAAACATCTTCATCTTTGCCCTTCTGTAGCAACTTCTTTCGTGAGTTCTGGCTAAATTTATCCCCCATTTCTCCCTAACATATTCCCTTGGATTGCCAGGAGGACCACTGGAAAAAAGATGTGGCAGTCTGCTTTTGTAAAGATGACAACCTCGGAACTCATGGGTCAGTTCTACTCTGTCACAGGGGTCACCAGGAGATGGAATCAACTGGACAGCATATGACCAACAATGTCTTAAATTTAGCACGTCAAAACAGAACTCTAGATCTTTTTTCCCCCCCAAACCAGATCCCCATCTTCCCCCTGAATACTTGATGCTCACGCAGCAAACCTCAGTCATTCTTTCCCTCACAACCACCACACCCAGGCCATCTCCCAAGTCCTTTTAGCTCAATCTTCAAAATAAAACCTCATAAAATAATTTGGAAAAGAATAGGAAGACTCGTTGCCCAACTTGAAGACTGCTATCTGAGTCACTGAATTACACGTGTAGAAACTGTAGCATGGATGCATGCTTTATTGTGTATATTTCCAGCTCAACTGAAAGATAAAAAACAAAAACAAAACCCAAAACCAACCCAATTGTTAGTTCCTCACTATTGCCGCTGCCACAATTCTCATAGTCTCATTTTCCTCTCTTGCCTGGATAATTACAACAGTTTTCCACTTCCATTCCTATATCTTTCAATCCGTTCTCCTTACACAGCAGTGACTGTTTAAAAATACTAATTGGATCTCATCCCTTCTCAATTGAAAACCTTCCAGTGGTGATCTAGCTTCCTTAGAATCAAAGCCAAAGTCTTCGCTGTGACCCACGCGGCCCGGCATGAACTGGTTCCTGTTGCCTCTCTCACCTCATCTGAAGCTGCCTCCCCCACTGCCTCATTACAAATGGGCTCCAGCCACACTGGCCTCCTTACTCATGTCCAAACACATCAAGTTCCTCACCTTCCTGGACTTTACTCTTTGCGGTTGCTGCTCCAGGGACACTCCTCACTCCTCAACTGTCACCTCAGGGAGGTCTTCCGGTTACTGCCCCATCTATTAAAGCCCCAATCTTGGTCATCGGTCACTGCCACATCATCCTGTTTAATCCCTCCACCACGGTTGACTTCACTCTGTACTTGTTTTGTGTGTCTCATTAAAATGCAAACTTGTCTTTTTTTTTTTTTTTTCTTTGTTAGTTTCCCACAATTTAGAACAGCCCTGACACGAAAATCGACCCTCAATAAATCCTCCTGGAATGCAAAGACAACAGCGAGTGGATTCTCTTCCATGGGTGTGCCTGTGCCTATACTACGTATAGGCCAGGACAGTTATTCTGAAGGGATGAGATCTCCCAGCATGCAATGAGAAACCCGAGGGGATCTCATCCTTTGGCAGGTGGAGGTATGCTGAGGGGATCACATTCCCAGTTTTTAATGGGACACAAATGGCGCTATGAGGACCACCTTTTCTTTCCTCCAGAGACAGTATGGGACTACATTTCCCAGAAGGCAATGGGAGCGCACTGACCGGAAGACAGTGCTCAGCCAACAATGAAAGAGTGGACCACATGTCTTAGTAGTATAGCATGCTACGGAGATGGCAATCAGGAAATAATAAATTCACTTCGCAGGTGTTCTGGCTGTAAATGTCTAGACAACCCCATGTCCAGGAAAACATGAAAGTTGAACAGATGCCCTTCCCAGAATGCTCGGGTCAGAAGAGAACTACGAATCCCAGCATGCTGTGGTAATCCAGTCACAAAGCTATCAGCCCTCACAGACGTAAATTGGTGGAGTTTTAGGATCCACCTACCCAGGTGGCTCCACCCATTTCTCTTTTCCACTGGTTCCACCGCTTTTTCTCAGTCCACAGACCATGCTCTGTGCAGTGCACCCCTTTTCTACTAGAAAAAGTCCACTTAGAATCTTTCCTCTTCCATTTCAGGAGGCCCTACGTCATGCACAGCTGCAGGCTCTACCCCATCCTTCTCCTGTTGGTTCCTAGCTCTGATCTTTTTGTAGTTAGTCGGGCCTCTATAGTGGATTTCCATCCTTCCAGATCCAATGTCTGCATTCCCTCTACCTTTTTTCTCCCAATTGAGTATGTGGTGGTAGTGTGCCATGGAGTTGGTTCCAACTCATAGCGTTCTTGCATAGAGTTTCCGAGGCTGTATACCCCTCTGCTTCTTTCTTTCTATCCCATCCTTCTCCCTTATTAGTATACAATACCTAGAACCCAAACTTCATCCAAACTTCGTTTTTCTTTGGCTAGCCGGCCCCTTCCTGGACTCAGTGGTTTCCTGGCCTCTTCCTAAACCCCACTTACTGCCTGCATCTTCCCTTCTGTCGTCTACTTGTCTATAATGCCTCCTCCTCTCAGACTCCTTCCTTCACTAGATGGCTCCGCCTTCCCCTGTTGAGCCAAGGTTTTAGTGGTTGTCCCTGTCTCTCTAGATTTACAAAGGGAGGGTCCCTATGAATCGGAACTGACTCCATGCACCTAACAACAAAAATTCCTGCCTTCCCGGTTTTCATCTCATTAGACTCCACCCATAACTGGAGTCCACAATTTTCAAATTGACTCCTCATCTCGCTAACCCCAGATTCCACCACTCCATCAGATCTTGTCAATTGGTTCCTTTTGGTCCTCAGACCCCAATACTCGTTAGCCTCACCTTTCCCCTAGATCCCACTCCTCTTGCCTCGCCTCTTCACACATCCTCACATCAGATGAGTCCATGTCCTCATTCTCTCCATACCATGGATGACTGCCCTCTCTCCGACCCTCTCCAAGATACAGCTCAGGCTTCTAGGTGACTTAACCCACAGGCCTTCACGCCCTTATCCTGAAGGCCATGCCCTCCACGTGAGTCCCGCCCCTTACCTCCTACCTGGCCCCGCCCCACTCCAGATGCAGAGCCGCGGAAGGCCCCGCCCCTCGTATGCCCCGCCCACCCCGGACTCCCGGTCCGTCCATCAGATGTCCCACCCACCCTCAATCTCCCAGCCCGCCCCTGCCGGCCGCGCGCACCTTGGGCGTGAGCACGAGCGCGGCGCCGCCGTGCACGGCCACGATGGGTAGTGAGGTCTGCGCCGACAGGAAATCGAGGATGGGCGCGACGGCGGGCGCGCGCGAGTCGTCCTCGAAGACCACGCCGTGCACGCGCAGCCCCGACAGCAGGTCGCAGAGCTGCAGCACGAGGCTGCGTGGGTCCGAGCCGTTGAGCACCAGCGCCACGGGCCTCACGTCCAGGCCTGGGCTGCGCACGGCTGTCGCCACGGCCGGTCCCAGGCGCGCCGCCTCCGCTGTGTACGCGGGCCCCGAGAACACAAGCGCCACGTTGAGAGGCCGCGCCCCACCTGGCCCGCCGACCCCGCCCGGCCCCGGCACCTCCTCCGGGAACGGGCTGGCGCAAGCCAGCGCCAGCAGCAGCAGCATCCTAGCGGGGCCCCGAAGGCCGCGGGGGCCACCGGCGCGGCGCATCGCCTGCGGGCCCCGCCGGGCGGCCTCTGTGCCCGGGCCCGGGATGGGGGTGGGAGAACACGTGGGAAGGACAAGGAGAGAGACCCCAGTAGCCGAAAAATACAGACGGGGAGGCAGAGACAGGCAGATTATCCAGAGATGAGACGATATAGGAAGGGAGAGAGAGATTGGTCAGGGAGAACCAGTGATGAAGAGACACAAAGGAAGAGGTGAGATAGAGGGAGAGATAGATGGAGAAATGAGAGACAAGGAGAGATGGGGAGGGGCACAGAGATAGAAGGAGAGACACAAAGACGGAAAGATTGATAGATGAAATAGAGGGGGGAGAGATACAGAGGGAGGTGAAGGGAGAGATGGGGAAGAGACGAAACTCAGGTGTGTGTAAGGAAAACGAGGCAGAGGTAGGAAAAGTCAGAGATGGGGAGAAATGGATTATGAGCGCGAGACAAAGACAGGGAGCATGAGGGTGGATGAAGGAGATGGCAGATAAAGAGGTAGGAGAGAGAAATAGGAAGATAAGGTGGGGATAGGGGAAATGGGAAAGTAAAGAGAGTCAGAGAGACCCAGGGATACAGAAGAAGGAGACAGGGAGAGAGAAGAGAAAAAGATGAGAGGTGGAAAGAGAAGCAGAGACATGTAGAGAGGGTGACAGACAAAAAGAGGCAAAGACAGAATGACAGAAGTGGAAGAGATGGAGAGAGAGGTGGGAGAGAGAAGAGAGACAGGAAAGTTGGGGAGGGAGAGGGAAAGAAACCAGGAAGACAGACCCCACAGCCACCACAAGACACAGGAGAGATGTGGAAGCAGACGAGTGAGAGATCCAGGGAGACCAGCAGAGAGAGCCGAGAGCAAACACAGAAAGAGGAAGACAGAAATAGCGAGCAAAGATCGAGACCCCCACCAGGGAGGTGCCCGGCACAGACATGAAAGGAGGCCAGGGAGGGTGCAAAAATAAAAGGAAGAAAAAATAGGGGAAAAAAAAGTCAGGTATGGGGGAAGAGAGAGAGAAAAGAAGAAATTAGTGGGGCATCCCAAGGAGAGACAGTGCCCCATGACCTCATCCCTTAACCCCTCACTCCATCACACCCGTGTCCCACTTTTGTCCTTTTCTGTCCCTGCCACCACCACCCCATTGTCAGTGAAAGCAGGAGAGGGAGTTAAGGCCCAGACTGGGCTGCAGGGTTGGGGGCCACAGCTGTGAAGAGCTGGGGAGGGGGTTGTCCCTGGCACCCAGCCCAGAGTAATTTTACAAATTAGAGGAATACAGTGTCTCATCCTCCCTGCACCCCAGCCCCCTGTTGAGTACTGTCTGTTTGGGGTAGGAGAGCTGGGAGTCCAGGCTCCTGGGTCTGAAGGAGGAGTGGTCCGGCAGTCTGGACTCCTGAATCTGAGAAAGGAGAGAGCTGGGGGTTGAGACTCTTAGATTTTAGAGAGGAGCTCCAGGGGTGGGGTGAGGGGTGGGGGTGGACTATAGGGTCTGAAGAAGGGGAGGCCAGGTGACCTGGACTCTTGGTTCCCACTGAGGGACTGAAGCAAGCACTAGGGACTTCCTGAGAGGGGTGAGGGTCCTGACAGGACAGGGTTCTCTCCGGCTGTCAATCAGCTTCCTGTCTGGTTGCCATGGTAGCGCATGCATGCCTGGTCCACTGATATAACAGCCAGGGTTGGGGGAAAGGCCCATACCCCCTCCCCTGTCTACAGGCCTCCTCCCCCTCCCCTGGGTGGCCTTTTCCCTAGGATGGGGGGTGAGGGTCCTTAGCAGCCCATCCCTCCCAAACCCTGGCTCCCCTCGCCCCGCCTCTTTGCTGCCCTTCCTCAAGCAGCTGGCTCAATCAGTGCTCAGAATAGCCCCCCTTCTGCCCCAAAATAACCCACAGCTGTGGCCTGGCCCCCGCGGGGTTAACATTCTCCCTGCCCTTCCTTGTGGCTGCTCACCCCTCAGCCCCTGGCAGACCCACCCATTCCTAGATTCTGCTGCCCGTGGGGGCTCCACAGCCCTGCTCCCTGTGCCCAGGAGTTCGGAGCCCCATCCCACTCTTTTCAGGAGGCTTAAATGCCCAGGAGAAATTCTCGATCTCCACTCTATCCACACAGTGACTCAAAAGTCCAAAAAAAATCCTGTCAGGGATACAGGAAACTGGACCCCCCAACCTCTCCTCCCTCAAAGACAAGCTCTATCTTCCAACTTCTCCCAGAAAGACCCAAGAGTCCTGACTCTCATACTGGGTGGCAGTGGGGGCTCCTCCAAGACTCAGGAGTTACAGCCCTGGGCCTCTCTTCCAGCATTTAGGAATCCAGACGCCCAGTCTCCTCCTTGCTCAGATCCTGGGATCCTGGACCCTCAGCCCCTTCCTCCTCCTCCCTCAGACCCTGGCACTCTGGATCCTCAGCCCCTTCCTCCCTTAGACCCAGGGGTCCTGGACCCCTAGCCTCCTCCTCCCTCAGACCCTGGCACTCTGGATCCTCAGCCCCTTCCTCCCTTAGACCCAGGGGTCCTGGACCCCTAGCCTCCTCCTCCCTCAGACCCTGGGATCCTGGATGCTCAGCCCCCTCTTCCCTCAGATCAAGGGATCCTGGGCCCCTAGCCTCCTCCTTCCTCAGACCCAGGGATCCTAGACCCCCAGCCTCCTCTTCCCTCAAAAACTGGGGTCCTGGATCCTTAGCCCCCTCTTCCCTCAGAATCAAAGGGTCCTGGACCCCCAGCCTCCTCCTCCCTCAGACCCAGTGGACATGGACCATCGAGCCTCCTACTTCCTCAGACCCAGGGGCCCTGGAAACAGCCTTATCCTCCCTTGAAGACCCCTCTTAGTCTCAAGCCCCATCAGTCCCAACATTCCAGGCGCACCCCCAGCTCCAGTCTCCCTAAGCTGCCTTCCCCTTGAGGTCCTAAACACAGTCCGGCCCATGTCTTCAGCTGAGTGGGGAGGAAGAGGGTGCAGAGATTCCTGGGGTGTCCCTGTCCCTTACTGCTCCCCCATACACCATAGAAGACACTGAGTCCACTTTGATCAACAGCCCTCCCCCCCTCACGCCGTGCTGCAGACGCCGTCCTGCCCCCCCCCCCCAACACACCGTCCTCTCTCCCCACCCTAATCCTGGTGCTTGGAAGAGGTTGGAAGGGTATTCCAGAACCTTGGGGAAGGGGAGGTGATTCAGGGCCAAGGGTGCTGGGGGCCTGGATGCCCTCAAGGTCCTTGGCGGGGTATTAATAGCAGACTCATAGCTCTGAGGAGGGAGGGGAGGGAGAGAAGAGAAAGGCAGAGGGACTGACCGGTAAAGGGGGGGAACCGATGGGGGGACAGAGAGAGAAGGTGAGATGGGGCGACAGTTATGGGGTGTCAGGTATGTGGGACTGGGGAGAGGGAATTAAGTGCTGAGGATATGGGGGAGCTCAGCGGTCTGAGATGTTGAGACCCAGGAGAAAGGGTCTCATAGAGGGGAAAGGAGAGGGGGTGGAGAAGCGTCCCCCAAGGGATAATGCAGCTGGGGGGCACAAAGACCCCTGACCCTCCATTACTCCCCCTTCCTATCCCCTGGAGGCTCCTGGCCAACTTTCCCTGTCCTAGATTTTGGGGTCTACATCGCCGCGCCCCCCCGCGCCCCCTACCTCCCCGCCCCCTGCTGGGCCTTACCTTTTCATGACCCTGTTCTGTGTGGGGAGGATGCAGGGGGCCAGGACCGGAACCGAAGTCCAGCGACCCGAAAATTCCGCCGGAGAGCTCAGGGCGCCTCGGGGGAGGGGGGGCAGGCCCTGGGGCGGCGGCGGCGGCGGTGGCGGTGGTGGTGGTGGTGGCGGCTGTAGCGGTGGTGGAGGCAGCGACGGAGACCTCCGGCTCGGTCCCTGGCTCTGTCTCTCCCTCCTCTTGCTCCTGTCCTGCCCTGTCCCCCAAGGTTGCGGCCACCCGGGCTAAGCGAGGACGCGGCTACACATGTTGCGCTGGAAGTTGGGCCCCGGACATTGCAGAGGCTGTCGGGGTGTCCTCTTGCCTCCCCGACCCCGTGGGGATCCCCCCTCCGCCCACCCGGGGTCCCCCCCTGCACCGCCTTCAGCCCCGGCTCCTCCCCCTGTCCATGTGTCCGGTACCGCCTCTCCGGGGCTCACTCGCGCCCCCCTCCCTTTGTGCCATGAGCCCCCACCACCACAGAGCCTCAGCGTCTGTGTCTGTTTGTCTGTCTGGGTCACCTTTGAAGCCGGTGGCTGGTGTATATGTTTGTGTGAGGAGCCTGTCTGGGAGCACTAGCGGCCCCTTCCTCGCTTGGCCACCTCCAGACCCCCCCTTAAGCGCCCCCACTCTTAAACCCAGGCAGTACACACAGACACACGCACACACACACGTACAGCTCACTTCCCTGGGATTCCCCCTCGACACCCCCGTAGCCTGGAGGAGGGAGTCACACACACACACACACTGGGGTTCGATGGGGGCCGGGTCTCCACTACCATTTGGGGCGTTTCGGACAGACAGGAGGACAGAGGCAACCGGGGACGCCCAGACGCCCGGCGGGACGCAGGCAGGAGGCACTGAGCCCAGGTACACACCAACCACCCGGCGGGGAACTGGGGGGGAAGGGGGCGCGAAACCCTAGCAGGCGGTTCGGGGTCCTACAGACTGACAGTCCCCTCCCTCCTTGGCCTCCGCAGCCCTGATACAGACACACACCCCCTCCGCCAGCCCAGTCCTTGACACCCGGACACAGAGCCTCACCGAGCAGCTGGCAGACGCACGAGAGACCCCTGGGGGCCGGGCGGACCCACCCAGCCCAGCACCCCAAGTCAGTGCCGTGGCCGCGGGAGGCTGCGGACGGGAGGACGGGCGGCGGGTGGCGGCGGCCGCGGCTCGGAGCCTAGCGGGAGGGACTCGCACACTCACTCGGGATGCGATTAACATTCAGTCCCCGTCCGCCCTGCGGGGAGACCCACAGCCCCCCCTCCTGCCCTCCCCGGGGACCCCTTTCCTGCCGGGATGGGGGAGAGGGCTGTCCCACCCCCTCCCAGCCCCAAACTCTCTCAGGAGACTAGGGAGTGAGGGGCTGTAAATAAGAAGAGAAGGGAAGCGGGGCCAGGCAGGGACTGAACTGGTAATGAGGTACCAGCTTGGGATGGACTCTAGCGGCGACCCCCCACCCCAAGCTCATGACTGGCTTTGACCCCCCTGTCCACTTTGAGGCCCCCACCTCTTAGCCTCCTTCATCTTGGTCTCTACCATGCTGTGAGGAAACCTTTGGTTTCTGTTGCCCCAGAAGGCCAGACCTGCAAACTAGGTCTCCACCCCCATGAAGCTAGAGTCCAGGCCCTCTGTCCCCTCCAGCCCCCTGAGGTCAGAAACCATGGTCCCTGCCTTTTCCAGAACTAAAGTCCAGCTCTCCAGCCTTCTTCTCCCTCAAATCTGGGAGTCCAGAACCCCAGCCCTCCTCCCTAAGACCTAAGAGTCCAGACTCCCAGCCCCCTCAGAACCAGTAGTCCAGGGTCCCTGGTTCCTTCTCCCTCATACCAGGGATCTACTTGATTTGCATGGCCCCTTCTGCCTCAGACTTAGAAATTCAAGTTCCTAGTGTCCTGGTCTCCTAGGGCCCAGGAGTCACCCCTCCCCTCCAAGATGGAATTTCCTTTAGAAAACTCAGGCCACCTCACCCACCCCCAGCCTAAACCACTCTCAGGGACTGAAGATGTCAAGACTCACAGATGTCACCTGCAGGGATCTAGTTCACCCAGCCCTCTAAGGAAGCCAATACCTCTGTACCCCTTCTTTTCTTGAGGGGCCCTGACCCCCATCACCCATGAATGTCCAAACACCCAGAAGGACCACAAGATCTGCTTCTCAGAGACACAGCAGTTCACAGTCTGTTCAGGCTCCCACCACCCTCTGGCCAGCTCCAGCCCTTCCTTCTTCAAATGGGGGGATCAGCACTTCAATGAACCCTCCAAGTTCAGGGGCCCTAACAGCTGAGCCCCTGAGGGTTGGAGGCTGGGGGAGAGAGAGAGAGAGAGAGAGAGAGAGAGTGTGTGTGTGTGTGTGTGTGTGTGTGTAGGGGAGAATTCTGCAGGGCCTCCTGGGATAGCATGGGTCTGAGTGCCCCTGAGTCCTAATTATTTTCATCACCAAGTGGTGGACAGGGGTGAAGGCTTACATCCCTTAGAAAGAAGAGAGTTAGGTACTGAACTTATAGATTCCAGAAGGAAGAGGAGACTGTGGAGCTAGATTCCTAGGGCCAAGGATACTTGAACCATATAGGGTGATTGGGGCTGCGATCTGAAGTCTCCAGGAAGGGGCTCTTGGGGGTAGAGACCTCTGGGAGCCCAGACTTCTGGGTCTAAGAAAGAAGGAGGCTGAGATTCTGGACTTTGTGGTCTTAGGAAGGAGGGGGTTGGGGACGTGGACTCCTGGTTCTGATGGAGGAGGGGCTGGGGGCCCCTAACTCTTCAGTCCTGGGGAAGAAGAGACCCGGAGCCCAATTGTTGGGCTTGTGGGTGGATTCGAGCTAGAGGCCCCTAAGCAGGCCAAAGTTGGCAGTCCAGCCCTGGGTTTTGTGTCCAGGATCTGAGAACTCCAAGGCCTGTTCGGGGGTCCCTGTCATGAGCAGAGGCTGGGCGATGGAACCGCTTCCCTTAAAGAGGCACAGACAGCCTGTGGCTACGGAACTGGGGAACTTCTGATCCCCACAATTCCGTGGGTTTTCAGGAGGCAGTTTTGAGAGTGCACTCAGGGTTGACTGGTGGTGTAATAGTTAAGCACTCGGCTGCTAACCGAAAGTTCGGCAATTCGGACACACCAGCGGTACTGATGGAAAAAAGACATGGCCGAAATCCTATGGGGCAGTTCAACTCGGTTGGATAGGGTCTCTAGGAGTCGGAATCTACTTAGCGGCACTCAACAGCAACAACAGGGGGCGCTCGAGAGTCGAACCGCCCTCGGGGGCGGAGCCTCCCAGCCCGGCTCCTCCCCTCCTCCCACCGCCTCCCTCTTCCCAGCTCCGGCTTGGCCACTAGCTCCGGCCTCGGCTCCCCTTCCCGGGCCCCCTCCCTGGAGCCGACCCCACCGACGGCCCCTCTCCCACCCCAGCCCAGCCACCGGCCAGCACCGTAGCCCCGGGGGGCCATCCCCCGCCAGCCTGCCTCCCTCCAGCGCAGCCCTGCCAGAGCGCCCCCGACCATGAATCTCTTCCGATTTCTGGGGGACCTCTCCCACCTCTTGGCCATCATCTTGCTACTGCTCAAAATATGGAAGTCCCGCTCCTGTGCTGGTGAGACCCCCAGCTCCCCCTCACCGCAGCGAACGAGGGGAAAGAGTTGAAGGGAGGGCGTCCCAGGACTCGGAGAAGGGTCTGGGGGGGCAATAGAGGAACAGGCCCCTCCCCCCACCGCTGGCGGCGGGATCCCCCTTCCAGATCTGGGGTCGTCAAGGGGTCATCTCCCTTCTCTAGCTGGGATGTGCAGACAGTTTAGTTGCTGGGGGGGGTGCCACCTTCCTCTCCCCGATCTGGGCCGCCTAGGGGTTCCGGGGTTGGGAACTGGGAGCCGTGGCGGGCGGGGAGGTGACTGGGAGTTGATGACGTGGACGCTGGCGGCCCGGACGGGACGGGAGCTGGAGGGAAGAGGCTGGTTCCAGGGGGCTGAGGGCAGGCTGGGCCCTCTGTGGGTCTCACCTAGGGTCTGAACTGTGGGGAAGCCCCCTCAGGGGCCGGAAGCCCCTGCGAGGCCTAGCCGGGGCCAGAGCCTCGGGCTAGAGTAGCTGCGGGGCCCGGGCCGCCCCCTGGCTGTGGGCCGTGAGAAAGGTCCCTTGTTAGGAGGCGGGCTAAGGCGGCCTCCGAGGACTGTTGCACTTCAGAGTCGCCCTAGCCTGGCCCTGGCGCCGCCCTTCATTGACTCCGCGTGCAGCCCACTCCTTCCTTCTTTCTGGACTACAGGGATTTCTGGGAAGAGCCAGGTCTTGTTTGCTGTGGTCTTCACTGCCCGCTACCTGGATCTCTTCACCAACTACATCTCTCTCTATAACACGTGCATGAAGGTGAGGGCTCCTCTCCCGCAGGCTGTGGACTCCTGGGTCCAAGGGAGGAGGGGAATGGGGACTCCGGGGTCTGAGGAAAGATGGGGCCTGGATTCCTTCCTGGAATTGAAGGGGCGCTAGGGGCTAGACTCCAGGTTCTGAGGAAGGAAGGGACTGGGGGGCTGGACTCCCAGGTCTGAGGAAGGAGTGGGTAGGGGTGGGGACCCCTAGGTCTGAGGGAGCTGGATGTGGGGACTCCCAAGATCTGAGGGAGGAGAGGAATGGGTGTTGGGAATCCTGGGTTTGAAGGAGGCGGGTCTGGACTTGGGGGTTGGGGACCTGAACTTTTCTAGCCTCCCCAGCCCAAGGCTTTTGGGGATGGGGGACCTGCTCTGTGAGCTGAGGCATCCTTCCCTCACCCCATGGACAGGTGGTCTACATTGCCTGCTCCTTCACCACCGTCTGGATGATTTATAGCAAGTTCAAAGCCACTTATGATGGGAACCACGACACGTTCCGGGTGGAGTTTCTCGTTGTCCCCACAGCTGTCCTGGCATTCTTGGTCAACCACGACTTCACCCCTCTGGAGGTAGGCCACCCACCAGGCTCCCTGTCGTGGTGGGAAGGCTTCGCTGTTGAGAGTGGGTACTATCCCAGGCTTCCTTCTATAGGGTTTGCTCCAATGTCCCGATTCCAGGGCATCAAAGCCCTGTGCCTGGGCCCCAGATTGAGGTGACCTGAATATAGCCACAGCACTCACTGGACCAGAAGCTCTTGAAGCATTTCACCCACACTAACTCATTACTTTTCACAGCAGTCCCATTTTACAGATGAGGAGACCGAGACTTTGAGAGTCTCAATGACTTGTCACAGTCACTGACTTAGTGAGTACCAGATTGGATACTCAGGAATGGGGACCAGGCACCCTAGGACCAGACTGCTGGGATCTGAACCCTACATTGGTTCCTTTCTATTAGTATAACTTCGGACACGTGACTTGACCGCTCCAAGCCTCAGTTTCCCCATTTGTAAATTCCATCATGAAGATTTATGAAGCATGGATTTTAGAATCAGAGAATGGAGGTTTGAAACCCACCTCTGCCCCCTAGTAGCAGTGGGTTCTTGGGTAGGTCATGTGACTCCTCTACACCACATTTTCCTTATCTGTAAAATGGGTTCAGTCAGTGTCTGCACGTAAGTCTGTAATGAGGGATGCATATCTGTCTGTAAAACACAGTGCCTTGTATGTGGTGGGAAGTGTTGTACCAAGGTTTGTTCGATGGCTGAGGTGTTCAGCTCAGTGACTGTCCCTTACCTTCCTAAATGGGAACTGTTGGCATGGTTTCCTTTCCCTTCCTTTAGGTTTTGGTAAGGCCTGTACAAACTCTTGCAGGCCTGGTTGCACTGTGGGCTAAGCATTTGGCTGCTAACTGTAAGGTCAATGGTTCAAACCCACCAACTGCTCCTTGGGAGAAAGATGAAGCTTTCTGCTCCAGTAAAAATTTATAGCCTCGGAAACCCCATATAGGGTCTCTCTGAGTTGGACTCTACTTGATGGTAGTGGGTCTTTGTTGTCTTTGTTTTTATGGTATAAACTCTTGCTAGTTAAGTGTTCGGCTGCCAACTGAATGCCGACCATTGAGTTGGCAGTTCAAGTCCTTCCAGAGGTGCCTGGGAAGAGAAGCCTGGCAATTAACTGACTTCAGAAAAATCAGCCATTGAGAACCGTCAGGAGCACAGCTCTGCTCTGACACACCAAAAGTCAGTTACCAGGAATGGCAGTCAACAACAACAACAACAAAACAGCAGCTGAGTGTGTGCGTGTGCGTGTGCGTGTGTGGTTCTAAATCAGGCTGTGAGCTCCCGCCTCCTTTGTTCTTAGGTGCTGTAGAGTTGATTCTAATTCATAACGACCCCACATGACCGAGAAGAACTGTGCTCCTTAGAGGTTTTTAAGGTTATAACCGTTCAGAAGCAGATCGCCAGGTCTGTCTTCCATGGTGCCGCTGAGTGGGCTTGAACCCTTAACTGTTGGCATCACCCTGAGACTCTTGTTAATTGCCATGGACTCAATTCCAAGTCCCAGTGAGCCTGTCAGACAGCGTAGAGCTGCCCCCTATAGGGTGTTCCACAGGCTGAAATCTCTCGGTAGTAGCATGCCAAGTCTTTTCTCCTGTGGAGTGACTGATGGGTTGGAACCTCCAACCTTTGTTTAGCAGCCAGGTGCTTAGCCATTGAGCTACCAGACTCCATTCATACCTTCTAGACTTAAAATAAATAAAGAAATAAAAGGACGCCTGTCATGGTGCTACAGGATAAGCACTGGACGGTGAACCAAATAGTCGACAGTTCAATCCCACCAGCTGCTCCTCAGAAATACTATACAGGGTCGCTATGAGTTGGAACCAACTGGCACTTAACAACAAGACCTCAAAACAAAGAAATAAGCCCACTGCCTTGGTGTTGATTCTGTTTCATAGTGAGCCTGTATAGGATTTCTATGACTGGAAATCTTGACTGGGGCGGGACAGCCTCATCGTACTTTTGAGGAGCAGTTAGTGGATTTGAACCACTGAACTTTCAGTTAGCAGCCCAGTGCTTAACCCACACTCAACCCGTTGCTGTCAAGTCAATGCTGACTCCTGGTGCCCCGTGTAGTACAGAGGAGAACGACTCCAAAGGCTTTTCTTGTCTATAGTGTTTATGGAATCAGATCGCCAGGGCTTTCTTCCACAGCACCACCAACTGGGTTTCAACCTCCTTTAGGTTAGTGGCCAAGAGCAAACTTTGGCTCCATGTGGCGGGGATCATACATTTGGGGCAGCCTTTCTTCCCCCAGGCCTACCTACTCTTGCCTCCGAGGAAGCTGGCCTGGGCTGACTAGACTGGCCAATGTTTCCAGCAGAAGCCAGAGTTTGGGAATTTCAGGTAGGATCTCCTCATTGGAGGATGTTGTCCACAGATCCAAACTAGATTTATCTAAACACTATGCAGGCCAGACCAATCCTGAGGGGAAGGTGGCTTTGGCCCATAGGTCCCTACTGATGTGTGTCCCAGGGAGGTACACTAGACTAGGGTGGGAACCTCAGGCCTGGCTCTGCCTTAATGGAATCTGCAAATGTGATCATCACCACCTGCCTGTGCAGAGCACCCTCCAGGTCTGATGCCAAGTTCTCAACTTACAATAACTGTTCTGCCCAGTGGGCTAGTGACTGGGAGTACTGGACCCATTTTGCAGATGCGACTGAGGCCTGGGGAAGCAATGGGGCTTCCTTGAGATGGACCAGGACTCAGGCCTCTTGATTCCCAGCTTTTCCTGGTTCTGTCCTTCAGAAAAGGAGCCCTGGTGGCACATTGGGCTAAGCATCAGGCTATGCACTGCAAGGTCAGTGTTTGAGGCACACCAGCCACTTCTTGGGAGAGAAACATGAGGCTGTCTGCTCCCATTCAGATTGGCAGTCTTGGAAACCCTCGGGAGCCACTCTCTGTCCTCCCGGGTTGCTGTGAATCAGAATCCACTCCATGGCAGTGGACTTGGTTTGGTCCTTCAGAGATGGAAAGGCACTTGTGCATGCAAAGTGTTGGCACCACCTGTGTGCCTGGCCCTGCACTGACCATTCTGAAAGCATCTTTATTCTGTCCGCTCCCTGTCACCCTGGCCTCCTCCATGTTTCTGAGGCCTGAGGTGAGTCTCAGAGTTAACTGTTCCTCCATCTGAACCTAGGCCTACCTGCTTTCCAAACCCACCGCCCTCGAGTAGATTCCGACTTGTAGTAACCTTATAGGACGGAGTAAAACTGCCCCATCGGGTTTCTGAGGTGAGAAATCTTGACTGTAGAGGATCTCCAGCTCTTTCTTCTGTAGAGTGACTGGTGGGTTAGAACCACTGACCTCTCAGTTAGTAGTTGTGTGCTTAACCACTGTACCACCAGGGCACCTTTTACCTGCTTCCAAAGCCCTTGCTATTTACTGTCAAATTCTAAAGTGTTTTCTTTTTATTATTTTTTATTGTAGAAGGAATATCTACTTCTTTAAAAATTCAGGTCTCATGGATATGTGTACAACAAATTCTGACAGCCCTTCCCACTCCTCTCCCATGCCCTGATTCTGTTCCTTAGAGATCACCACCAGGGTAACATTTGAATGTCCATCTGTTGAATAGGTAGGTTTTTCAAGAGCTTTGACTAACCCAGCTTCTAATAATACACTCACTGGAGGAATCTGGGTGATCCTAGGAGCCAGCCTTGGCCTCCAGCTGCCTGGGTGGGAACCTGGGTCCTACCCACAGCTAAACCGTGTGACCTTGGATGACTTTCTCTTGGGCCTGTCTTCCCATCTGTACAACCGGGTGGTAAGAACAGCACTTATCTCACAGGGTTATGGCTTAAAGGGATTCATATCTGGAAGGTGTGTGAAACAGAGCCCCGGTCAGATAGCCACTGATGTCCCTGCCTCCCTGCCCTTCCACAAACCAAAACACCTGAGCAGGAGCCACGCCCTCCACTTGACCTTTTTCTGCACTGGGAGGTTTCGGTTGGTTCTACAAGTGACAGTCAGGCCAGGTGGGAGTTTCAGGGGTGGGACAGATATCTGAGAGCTCTTCTCTCCCTACTTCATGGGTGCCCTGCCCTGTTGCCAAATGCTGACTTTGCTGAATGCATGGGGCTGTGTGTGGTCTCTAGCGCTGCTGTAACCAAACCACCACCGGGGGCGGCTTTAACCAACAGAAATGCTCGCTCTCACAGTTATTGTTAAGTGCTATGGAGTGGATTCTGACCCATAGCAATCCTGTATGGGGTTTCCGAGGAGCAACTTGTGAGCTTGAACTGCTGACCTTGCAGTTCAAACAGCTTTGCAGTCTGGCGCATTAGCCCACAGAGCCACACCAGGACTCTGTTGAGGAGGCTGGAAATCTGCAGTCAGGGCGCCGACTCTAAGGCAGGCCTGCATTCTCTGTCAACTCTGGGTGGCAGTCCTTGTCTCTTCTGCATTTCTGCTCCTGGGTGAGCTTCATGTGGCATTGCATTCTCTTGGTGCCCGTCTCTGCGCCCTCATCTAATCTTACCATCTCAAAAGAGGTTGCTTTAGGACCCATTAATCCTGGCCATCCTGGTGTGATGCTATAGGACAAGCACTGGACTGCTGACCTCAAAGTCAGAGATTCAAACCCTCCAGCCACTCCACAGAAACTCTCGGAAACATGGTCGCTGAGTTGGAACCGATTTGATGGCACTTAACAACAAGTACACCACTATTGTCTCATTGTTAAGTGCTATTGAGTCGGTCCTGACTCACAGCAACCCTGGATAGTGGTTCTGAAGCTGTAATCTTCGGGGAAGCAGAAAGCTTCATCTTTCTCCCAAGGAATGGCTGGTGGGCTCGAACTGCTGACCTTGTAGTTCGCAGTCCAGTGCTTATGGAGCCACCATGTTCCCACAATCTCATTAACATACCAAAAACCCACCTCCAAAGGGGATGATAACCACGAGTGTAAGTGTGGCCCACCGCTGTCATGCAATCCACCATTCCGACTCACGGCCACCCTGTAGGACTGAGTCAAACTTTCTCATGGGGTTTCCGAGGCAGTAAAGCCAACTGCCTCGTCTTTCTCCCACAGACTAGCTAGTGGACCCAAATCACCGACCTTTCACTTAGCAGCCCACTGTGCCACCAGGGCTCCTAACAGATATGTGCAAAACACACACAAAAGCCCCCTGCCTTTGAGTCCATTCTGAGTCATAGTTTCTGAGGCTGTAAACCTTCACAGGAGCAGAAAGCCTCACCTTTCACCTGAGAAGCGGCTGGCGCAATGCTGCCTGAAGCAGAGTGGGAATAGACTCCATTTAGAGATGAGGAAGCAGAGGTTCCTGTAATCCCCCAAGATTTCAACCCTAGTCTACCAGTTCCCAGTTCCCACTCACCACTTGTGTGGTCTTGGGTGAATTGCTACCCTCCATTCCCCAGAAGGAGCTCTGGTAGCGTAGTGGTTACATGTCGGGCTGCTAATCACACGGTCAGCGGTTCTGTGGGAGAAAGATGAGGCTTTCTGCTCCTGTAAAGATTTACAGCCTCGGAAGCCCTGTAACAGGGTCACTGTAAGTCGGAACCGACTCCACGGCACATAACCCCCACTAGCACTGTTCCTCAGTGTCCTCATCTATAAAGTGGGGATGGCAATAATAGTTAATGGATTTTACACCAACACATGGGTTAGGATCTACCCAACACAATAGGTAATTAAGGAGTATATAATTCCTTCATTGAATCCTCCTGGGTGCAGTTGTGAGGATTCAATGAAGGAATATACTCTGCTTAATTATCTATTGTGTTGAGCTGACTCTTGGGTTGGAGTAGAATCAGGTCGTCAACAAGACACTGCTTTCTGCTCAATGGGAAGACCCTTCCTGGTCTCACTCAGTTTCTAGTAGCTTCTGGCAGTTTGGGGCATTCTGGACTTCTAGACGAGTCACTCCATCGTCACGTGGGTCTGACTCTCCCCTGTTGGTGTGCCTCTGTCTCTTCTGCTCAGAAGGGATGAAGTTTAGCACCAATGTTACCCTGGTAAAGGAGGCCTAGTGATGCAGTGGCTAAGCGCTCGCCTGCTAACCAAAAGATCAGCAGTTCGAACCAACCTGGTAGTGACTGAGGGAGAAAGATGTGGCTGGCTGCTTCTGTATCATTTACAGCCTTGGAACCCCCTCTGGGCAATGTCCTCTGTCACAGGGGCTTTCTGAGTCAGAACTGGGTCTGGGCTGTTTTGAGTGGTGGTGGCTCCATGAGAGAGAGACTTGGTCTTCTCCAAGAAAACTGTGCAGGGCAGTGTGGCTCTGTAACATAGGGTTGCTGAGTCGGAATCATCGACCTGATAGCATATAACAGCTACTCCCCTGTTTCCTTATTAACATAACCTAAGGGGGGAAAGGAGCTCTGGTAGCGTGGTAGTGACGAATCAGGCTGCTAACCTCAAAGTTGGCAGTTCAAAACTACCAGCTGTTCCGTGGGAGAAAGATGAGGGTTTCTGTTCCCATAAAGATTTACAGCCTCGGAAACCCCATACAGGGTTGCTATGGGTCAGAACCGACTCCATTGTACTTAACAACAAGGGGGGAAAAATTTCCAAGCAGGGTCTTGTTTATAGAGACAGGGATTAAGATTTGAACATATCGCTCTGTAGGACAAGGGACTCTGATGGCACAGCGGATCAGAACGTGGCTGCTACAGTTGTTCAAATCCACTAACTGCCCTGAGGCAGAAAGATGAGGCAAACTGCTCCTCTAAAGATTTGTTGTTGTAAAGTGCCATTGAGTCGATTCCGACCTATAGCGATCCTGTAAGGGTTTCTGAGGAGCAGCTGGTGAGCTTGAACTGCCAACCTTGCAGTTCAAACAGCTTTGCCGTCTGGCACATTAACCCACAGCGCCACACCAGGACTCCCCTGTAAAGATTACTGCCTTGGAAATCTTATGGGGCAGGTCTACTGTGTCCTATAGGTTCTCTTGCTATGAGTGGGTATCAACTTGATGGTAACAGGTTCTGGAGGAGGAGGGTGTACAGTTCAGTCCTCGGCACACACATGGTGTGAGTGGAACAGTGTCTGCAAATTTAGGTAGTGCCAAACTTACCTTAGCTATAGTGGGTGGGTTTTTTGTTTTGTTTTTCTTTTTCTGTTTCCCCTGTATTTTAATTTTTTTAAAATTTCTATTTCGTTTCTTGTGGTTGTTGAGGATACTGGAGGGAGCTTCAAAAAGTTTGTAGAAAGCTAGAATGAAAAGGTAATGAAATTTTTGCATGAACTTTTTGGAGCCCCTTTGTATACCCATACATTCATACACACAAAGGAGCTGCAAAAACTTTGTGGGGAAATGGAATGGGAAGGTAATAGAAATTTTCCATGAATTTTTTGGAGTCCCCTTGCGCACACACACACACACACACACACATATACACTTAAAGGCACTTCATAAAGTGCATGAAAAAATCCCATTACGTTTTCATTCACTTTGAAGCCCACCCCACCCCTGCCATCCCCACCACTGAGAACACACCCCCTCTCTACTGCTTGGACCTGGATGATTCAGGGTGTGCTTTGGGAGTCCGGGGCTGCCCCGCTCGCCCCTGAGCCTGCTCCGGCCTCTCTGCAGATTCTCTGGACCTTCTCCATCTACCTGGAGTCGGTGGCCATCCTGCCACAGCTGTTCATGGTGAGCAAGACGGGCGAGGCGGAGACCATCACGAGCCACTACCTGTTTGCTCTGGGCGTCTACCGCACCCTCTATCTCTTCAACTGGATCTGGCGCTACCACTTCGAGGGTTTCTTCGACCTCATCGCCATCGTTGCGGGCCTGGTTCAGACAGTCCTCTACTGTGATTTCTTCTACCTCTACATCACCAAAGGTAGCCGAGGGAGAGGGAATGGGATGGGGCTGGGGGTGTCCACTCCTAGCTGCTGGGCTCCTGGATCCTGTCAGACTTCAGATCTCAGACCCTGCCTCCCTCCTTGTCCTTGGCTCTTTGTCCTGCCCTCAGGGATGGACACCCAATCCTCATCTGCACACTCATTCATTCATTTGTTTAGCAGATGTTGAATAATTTTTTTTTAACTTAATTGTGAATCAGATGAAGGTTTATACAGAGCAAATCAGCTTTCCATTCATCAATATGTATCCATTTTGGTTCGTGGCATTGCTTGCTGTCCAAAGGTGTGTCCTTGTCTCCTTGGCCCCTGAGCTGCTCAAGCGAATATCAGGCGGGGAGGGCCGCAGGGGACTGCCTGTAGTCTAGAAACTCTGGCTGCTGGCTCTGAATTGAAGGAGCTCTGGTGCCCGAAAGGAGCAGTCCTACTCTGCACGCATGGAGTTGCCGTGAGTCAGAAACCATTCAATAGCAATGACCACAAATCCTAGCCCTGCATTTACTCCGTGGGGAGACCTGGCGTCCTTTCCCTAGCCCCCCCTGGGTGTTTGGGGAGGAGGAGGCAGGACCAGGGCTGGTACCCTACCTTTATTTCCACTCTGAATCTCTCAAAAGTCCGCATCCTTCTGTCTCCAGGGAGCCAGGCCCACCTCATTTCTAGCTCCAATCCATGAAAAATCCTCCCTGCTCTATTGCTGCCTCAGACAGATGGACCTCCTCCCTCCTTGTCTCTGGCTGTGTTTCGTGCCCTCAGGGATGGAGGCCCATTCCTCACTTACTCACTCACTCACTCACTCACTCACTCACTCACTCACTCACTCACTCATCCATCCATCCATTCATTCACTCAACGGATGTTGAACTTTTTTTTTTTGTAACTTGTGAATTGGGTGAAGGTTTACAGAGCAAGTCCGTTTTCCATTCAACAATGTATATCCATTTTGTTTCGTGATATTGCTTGCTGCCCCTACAATATTAACATCACTCATCCCATTTCCTTTGTTTCCCCCCTCTGTTCCCCCTTCTTTCCTAACCCATCCTGCCTTCTGAACTTTGTCCTGGGGCACCTGCTGCCGCCTTGTATCTTGAGTGGCTGATTGTTCTGGAAAGATAGAGCTTTCTGGGTTTCCAGCAGGAAAAAATAATGGGCAAGGCCCTCCTGTCTTCTGTTCTAGCTGGGAGAGATGGTGAAGGAACAAATAAGGAAGCATCTTGTTGTGTAAGATTTTAGAAATATTCGGAAATGAATAGAGATGCTCAGATGGGTCAGGAATAACCTCATTTCGTTTTTGACAGAGTAGCCCTTGGAAGGTGTGTGGGTAAAACCTCACAATGCTCATTCAGAACCGGGGAATTGGAATGAAGAGGTGCAATGGCAATGTTAGTTCAGTTTGAGGCTGCATCTTTCCACTTCAGGCTTTTTGGCCTTTCAAGAAAAGTCTCTGAAGAAAAGTTTGACCACAGCTTGAACTTAGCAGAGTCCCTTATAGCTAGGGTCCAAAGCCGGTGCTAACAGGCAGGGTCTCCATTGCACTCTGCCTTCCTCTCGGGGAATGAGCAGAAATTCGGGGTTTTATATGGATATGTCACCTTGACTCCCCACATGACAAGGGCCAGTGTAGTGACAAAGACCAGCATGTGATGTGTATCTTTTCTCCAGGGTTAGAGAGTAACTGCGTGACGGTATCTTCCCATCCAGGTTAGAGATTACGGAGATTGTTTGGACTTGTTTTCACGCGTCACAGACTGCCGGGTCAGTGTGAACTTGAAAGCTTGTTCACAGTCTTAACATACTTCCCATGCGCCTGTGTTTCTGCATCTGAGTTGAGAAATTGCTGACAGATTTCTAGAGCTTTCTAGCTCACGAGATCGGGAGGCTGATGGGAGTCGATGTGTTTCTGTTTCTAAATTCATATTCTGAGGGATTCTCTTGGAAGCAGAATCGGGAGCTGTGTCTTATAGAATCTGTAGAACTCATCCCTGCAGAGAGAGAGAAGGGCGTGAAGGAAATGAGCCGGGGCTGTGAGGAGGATGACGGTGGAGGGAAGGAGCCCTTGAGGATACAGAAGCAGATACCTGAAAATGAAGACCTCAGACACCTGGGGAGAGAAGTTGACGTGTGAGAGCCTGGAGGGCAAGAAGTGCTCTCACCCAGTCAGCCCTGCCAGACCCCTGGACCCCACCTTCCTCAGAGACCCAAGAAGTCCTGCCGAGGGATCATTGGCTATGGAAGAAGAGTAGCCAGCACTAGGAGAAATGGGACTTTCTCTCAGCCTCTGTCCTTCATTCCCTAGGATGAGACCAGGGACCCCTCCCCGTCCAGGAATTCAGGTCTATCCCCTTGGTGCAAACAGTTTGGGCTCCCCTACTAACCAAAAGGTAGGTGGTTCAAACCCACTCCGTGGTGCTGTGGAAGTCAGTTCTGACTCCTGGAAACTCCATGTGACAGAAGATACTACAAGGTCGATGTGATCCGTAAGGTCAGTTGTTGAAACTCAACAGTCATTCCTTAGAAACCCTATTCAGGGTCACTGTGATGTTAGGGGCTGTTGAGTCGGTACCGACTCATAACGACCCTCTGCCCAACAGACCGAAGCACTGCCTGGTCCGGCGCCATCCTCACGATGGCTGCTGTGTCTGAACCCACTGTTGCTGCCACTGTCCCAGTCCATCTTGTTGGGGGGCCTTTGCCTTTATCCACGACCCTCTACTTTAGCCACGCATGATGGCTTTCTCCAGGCACTAGTCCCTCCTGATAATATGTCCGAAGTATGAGAACCAAAGTCAGGCCATCCTGGCTTCTAAGGAGCATTCTGGTTGGACTTTCTTCCAACACAGATTTGTTTGTTCTTTTAGTGGTTCATGGTACTTTTAATATTCTCCTCTGGCACCATCACTCAAATGTATCAATTCTTAAAGATATATATATATAAAAAACATAATTGTTCTTGAGTTCTATTGAGTCAATTTCAATTCATAGCAACCCTGTATAGGGTTTCCAAGGCCGTAAATCTTTGGCCTCAAACTGCTGACCTTGTGATTAGCAGTACAGTGCTTATCCTGTGTACATGCTCTCTCTCTCTCTCTGTATATATATATATATATACTAAGTGCCATTGATTTGGTTCTGACTCATAGCAATCCTGTATAGGGTTTCTGTGGAATGGCTGGTGAATTTGAATCACCGAGTTTGCAGTTCAAACCAACTTTGTGGTCTAGTGCTTATCCTACAGCACCACACGCTGTGGGGTTAATGCACTGGACTGCAAGGTCGGTTTGAAGCTCATCAGCTGCTCCTCAGAAACTCATACAGGGTCCCTGTGAGTCGGAACCAACTTGACAGCACTTAACAACAACATTACAGCCAAACATAAAGCAAGTTTTCTCACCGTACCATTTAGTAACATTGATGAGGTTCTTCGAATTGTGCGGCCATTCTCATCCTCCTTTTTTGAATTTTTCTCCCCCATTCCTTTCTGTCAACTCTCTGTCCCCTAAGGTTCCTATTTAATCTTTTGGGTTGCTGTTAATATGATCCTTAGAAGAGCAAAATGCTTGGAACAAATTGAAAATCATAGAAAAAGACCAGGCTTAATGGTCAGATAGAGATCGATGGAACCCCCAAGACTAAGGCCCTTAGTCACCCAGAACTGAACTCAGCCAAAGGTAGACAGATCTATGAGGCGAGCTAAAGCATAAGGGAGTGAGGACACTCCTTAAAATAATCAACACCTGAGATCCAAAGGGCAGCATTCACCCAGGGACAAAGTTCGGAAGGGTTAGGAAAGGAGGAGGAAAGTGAATGAGAATAAGGAGGAGGTGGGAGAAATGCTGTTGCATTGTGAGCACTGCAGTCGATGACAGGAAAACAAAATGTGTATGTGTAGTTGAATGGGAAACTGATTTACTCTGTCAACTTTCACTGTGATCAGAATAAACAGTTAGGCAAAGAAATACAGAGGAGCTTAATGTTGGAGGCAGACATTCTTTACTAATTAGGCCAAACTATTGTCTGGTAGAACGTAACATTTCATTACAGTATTTGTCTTTGTCTTCTTAAGCTGCCTTTGAAATTTTCTGTTCAGCTCTTTTACTCCTCATTTCTCCCATTTACTTTAGCATCTCTAACACTGGAGAACACGTTTCTGAGTCTTTTCTGACATCCATTTTGTTCTTTTCCTTCCTCCTCATCTTCTTAGTGACCTTTTGCATTCGCCCTGTATGATGTTTCTGATGTCATCTCTCAGTTCTTCTGGTCTTTGGTCATTGGTGTTTAATGCATGAAATCTATATTTGAGATGATATTTAAATTCACGTGTGATATGTTCAAGGTCATACTTTGGCTCTTGTGGACTTGTTTTAATTTTCTTCAGCTTCAGTCTGAACTTGCATATGAGCAGTTGATGGTCTGTTCCATAGTGTACCCCTGGCCTTGTGTCAGATGTATCTTGGCTGAAAGCAGAGAATATCAGAAAGATGTTTCCCTATGCTTTAATGCCTATGCAAAGACTTCTGACTGTGTGGATCATGGACAAGCTATGGACAACATTGCAAAGAATGGGTATTCCAGAATGCTTCATTGTGCTCATGAGGAACTTGTACAGAGACCAGGAGGCAGTTATTCAAACAGAACAAGCGGACACTGATTAGTTTAAAATCAGGAAAGGTGTGCCCTAGGGTTGTATCCTTTCATGAGCAAATAATCCGAGAAACTGAATAATATGAAGAGTGTGACATCAGGATTGGAGGAAGACTCATTAACAACCTGAGGTATTCAGATGATACAACCTTGTTTGCTGAAAGGGAAGACTTAATATACTCCTATTCTTGATACTCCTTCCTCTATTATTCTAGGCAAATAGACACCAATTGTTGCTCCTAGGATGGCCCTCTGCAAGCGTTTAATAACCCCAGGTACTCTGCCATTAGCTAGGAGGTCTAAGAGACTAGGCTCTAAACTTTACAGCAGAAAGAGCCTCCCCTGGAGCCTCTGGGTGGCTTTGAACCACCAGCCTTTCAGTTAGCTGAATTCTTCACCATTGTATCACCCACCGGGGGATCCTTATAGTTCTATATTCCCATTGCCATCTGACTGCACTCGTAGGGACCCCATGTGACAAAGTAGAACAACCCAGTAGATTGTAATCTTTAGAGCAGCGGGTCACCACATCTTTGCTATATGAAGTCATTGTGTGGGTTCAAACCTCCAACCTTTCAGTTAGCAGCCCAATGCTCCTATCGGTAAGATAACAGCCAAGGAAAAAAAGCCCGGTGGAGTTTGGTTCTACTTTGCCACATACGGGTTCTCCAGGAGTGGGAATGGACTGGTAGGCAATGGGTTCAAGTTTGTGTTTGTTTCCCCGGAGTGGGTCCTGGGCCCTGTTAACCTGGCTTCTGCCAACCCAGGGTCCTGACCCTGATTTGGCTGCGTGTGGGAGACTGCCCTCCCCTCAGAGCAGGGCCCGTGGTAACACCCACTCCTTTCTCTTTCAGTCCTAAAAGGGAAGAAGCTGAGTTTGCCAGCCTAGCCCGGGCCCTGAGACCCCTCTCCTCGGCGGCGGCAGGAACGATGACGACGACGCTGAGGACGACGCCGCTGAGAGGCACAGGAGGGTGCGGGGTGCCTGCTGCCCACCTGGGGGTGACTTTTTAAAGAACCCATCTCTCCCCGCGCCCCATCCCCCCTCCTGCTGGGGTTCGGGAGGCAGCGAAGGACCCAAGTCCTGGAGAAACTCAGGACCTGGGCTGTTTGTAGTTCTTGGTCTTTTGGAGAAGAAAAAAAAAAAAACCACACACACAAAAATCTTTTCACTCTTTAGTTTTTGATTCTGAGGCCTCCTCTCTTTCCTCTCTGGCCCCTGATTTTTATAAACTGTTTTCTGCAGTATCCAATGGGACGGGGCAGGGGGCAGGGTCTTTTTCCCTTGTCTTCCCCTCGCCTGGAACCCTCTACTCCCTTCCATACACCCTTCCCGGACCTCAACGGGTGCCAAACACTAAATCTTCTGACACCCCACACCCAGCCTGGCCCCCAACAACAACCCCCGTCCCCAGGCCCTTCTCTCTGGGAAAGGGGCAGATGGGGTGGGGGAGGCCAGGGAAGGGCTCCTCGTTTTCTTTTTTTTTCCCAGCGTTTGGGGTTTTTTTGGTCTTTTTCTGATTGTTTTTGGCATATGGAGGGGATGGAGGGCCAGCCTAAGATCACCACTCTCTGACGCCAAGTTTTTGTACAGAATTGATGGCTGATTCTTTGTTTTCTTGAAATAAACAGAGGAAAATAACGCCTCTCTCTTTCGCTACTCTTGTTCTGTCTCATGGTGTTTCTGGGGTGGGAGTGGGTTGTAGATTGAATCCCCCACAAAATATGAGGGACCTTGAAAAATTTGTGTAATAGTGGAAGGAAAAGATACTGCAAGTTTTGCATAAACTTTTTGAAGCCCCCTTGTATGTTTATAACATATGATATATGGGAATGAGGCAGGATGAGGGCGTGCCTTGAGTTAGTCAAGCACAAAATATAAAAGGAGTAGCTGAAGCAACCTGAAATGGGAGAAGGTAGATGCTAAGCCCATGTGGAGACCACCAAGGAACCAACAGAAGCTGAAGAGACAAGGACCTTCCCTTAGAGCCAGAAACCTGAATTCAGACTTGGAGCCTCAACGGTGTGAAAATGCATTTTTCTGTGTTAAATATTTGTGGTGTTTTTGTTACAGCAATAATAGGAAACATATGGGAGGGTCTTTCCGGTCCCCATCTTTGCCTCTGCTTTTGCTCCATCAGTTATTCACAGGCAACCAGACTCAGGAAGGTGAGATATTGGTTCCTCAAGATGTTTAGCTGCATCCTGGATTCTCACGGCTCCATGAGGAAGAAGTTTTACAGAAACTCCTAGAGAGTTTGCTTCTATAGGTTCAGAACTTTCCAGAATCTCGGTGTTGCAAAGGACCTTCAAGAGCATTCTTGTGGGGACTTATAATTTGACAGTCCTGCCCACCCTCCTTTTTTGTTTTGTTTTATTTTGTTTTTGGCTGGCTGTTGCATTTTGTTGAATCCCATACTCTGTTTTCCTATCAGAAAATGGAATGGGTTGCCAGGCTTTAAAAGCCAGATTTTTCCATTAGAATCCGGGTTTCTGGCTGCTCCAGAGAACCTGTCAGTCTGACAACGCTGGGCCCTCATTTCTTGGTGGCAGCAGATGGCTGGTGCTGAATAGATGGAATGGGAGCTTTTCACCAGTGTCCCCAGGACTTGGCTAAGTGGTGGTTCCCATTTGTTAGAGGGCATTGTTTTTGGGGGTTGGGGCAGAATTTGGTGGAGTTGAAATATTTCTGAGTCTCTAGATTGGCTTCATATCTATCTGGCCTATCTCCTTCACTTGCGTTAAAATGATCTCTTTTAAAGTCTTGTGTTTTTGACTCCCTGATGGAGTCAAACTCCCTGGTGGTAGTGGTGGTGCCTTGGAGTCGGTTCGGACTCATAGCAACCCTGCATAGGGTTTCCGAGGTTGTAAATATTTACGGGGGCAGAAAGCCTCATCCTTCTCCCGCAGAATAACTGATAGTTTTGAATTGCCTTGAGGTTAGCAGCCCCACTGGTAACCATTACACTACCGGAGCTGTCTCCTAAGGCATTCCTGACCTCTGCTTCACCAGGTTTGGCTTCTAGCTCACCCGTAGGGCAGTTCTCTGATCACCAGGCAAGACCAGTTGCCATCAAGTTCATCCTGACTCATGAGGACACAACCCCGTGGGTGTCAAGAGTAGAACAGTCCTCCATCCAGTTTTCAGTGACTGATTGTTCAGAAGTAGGTTGCCAGATCTTTGTCCTGATGTACTTCTGGGTGGACACAAACCCCTAACCTTTTTGTTACAGCGGAATTCACGCTCCGGGGCTCATTCAGGAGGCAGGTAGTTGGAGTTTTGTTGTTCAGTGCCATCGAGTCAGTTCCGACCCATAGCAGCCCTGTACAGAGCAATTAATACATGCCAAGGGCAGTGGTGGTTTAGTGATAGAATTCTCTTCTATGTGGGAGACTCAGGTTCGATTCGCAGCCAATGTACCTCATGCATAGCCACCACCCTTCTGTCAGTTGTGTGTGTGTTGTGAGGATGCTGAGCAGGTTTCACTGGAGCTTTCAGACTAAGGTAAGGGGCTAGGAAGAAAGACCAGGCAACCTACAGAAAACTAGTTAATGAAAACCTACGTATCACAATGGTCCCACCCTTCAGAGTTCATTGTGGGGATGGCAGAGGACTGAGCAGCACTTGGGTCCCTTGTACATGGGCTCACTATGCTTAAGTTGACTGTTGGCACCTGTTTGCTCAACCCCAGGCACCTCTTTGAAAACAGTCAGAAAACCATGAGTGGAGATCTGGGCCAGCTGTTTCCATGCCTGGCCCACAACTCAGGCCCAGAGAAACATGGGGATAGGTTGTGATGGATTGAATTGTGCCAGTCCCAAATATGATCTTGTCTGGGAAGTTTTCTCCCTTCTGTTTATGAGGCCTTGTCAGTGCAGGCTGACTTACGGCTCTGAGACAGTGAGCTGTGTGCACACTGGGTTCGGATTGCTGCCAGGTGCAGATCTCTAAGCTCCGCTGGACAATATGGGAGGCAAAAACCTTTCTCCTGAGTTCATGGAGAGAGCTTCCCCTGAGAGCTGGCATCCTGAATTCTGACTTTGAGACTCTTGAACTGGGAGAACATACTTTTCTGTTCCTTAGACTCAACTGCTTGTGGTATTTCTGTGAAAGCGGCAGTAGCCAACCAGGAGGTCTCTTGGTGACCAATCAAAAAACCAAATCCATTGAGCGGAGTCTGACTCAGAGCACCCTTGTTTAGGGTTGCTGAGGCTGTAAATTGTTATAGGAGCAGAAAGTCTTCTTTCTCACATGAAGCAGCTGGTGGGTTTGGGTGATGACCATATGATTAGCAGTCCAGTGCTTACTATTCTATGGTGCCACCAGGGCTCTTTAACGGTTTGCCAGTGGCCAAATGACAGTGTTGACAGTTGGAACCCACCCAGTGGACGATGCAGAATAAGACCTGGTGATCTGTTTCTGTAAAGACCTCAGCCAAGAAAACTCTGTGGCGTACCGCTCTACTCTGTAACACGTGGGGTTGCCATGAGTCAGGATTGTTTGGACAGCAGTGGATTTTCTGGTAGAAAACTAAGACGTATGTCCAACGTTCTGCAGTTGGTGATACAATGGTGACTAGAACTCAGGACTGCTGCCCACCCTCTGGCCCTGCTCTTCCAGCACTGAGTTCAGGCCTGCCACAGAAGGGGTCATGGGCCCAAGGCTGATTCCTTATAACTCCTCACTTTCTCCTGATTGTAAACCAGCCATCTGCAGGCCCAGTGGTTCCTACATGTGGGCATGATTTGTTTCGCCTGCACATTAAGGTTATTTTTGCTTGTTGTTTAATTTTTTTTTTTTTTTTTGATACTAGTTGCCAACTGATTACATATTAAGAAAAATAAAAAAATCATGGGTGTCTGATTGCACTGGAAAAAACAGAAAGCTCCAAGAGCCAGCTATCTGTTTCATGTGATTATTGAGCTCTTGAGGTCTGAACTGAGACTTAACATCAGTGCAAACTGCAATGGTCTTTGACAACTTAGTAGGGAAAAATGTAAAGCTAATGTGTTATTTGTGGCAGATTGGGTTAAATGAAAAAAAAAAAATTACTAACATGGATTGCACTTACTTTGTTTTACTTTTTTTTAATGCGGGTACTAGAAACAGTTTAGCTTACATCCTGCAGACTGGACAATGGGTTTGAACCACTGGCCTTGTGCAGCCCAGTGTCTAACCCATAGGGCCACCTTGGGTACCCTACGGGGGCAGTTCTACTCTGTCATATAGGGTCGCTATGATTGGGAATGCACTGAGCAACAGCGGTTTGATATTGGTGGGTGGAAAGCGCAGAGATGAGGTGCCTGGGTAGGATTTTTCCCTGCCCCCCAACCAAGATCCGAGAGGAACAGATCAGAGCGGGACCCAGGGCTGTATCAGAAACCCCCTGGAGGGAGGGTGTCTCTTTACTGGGGTGCTCAGTTGTCGGGCATCATGGCGAGGCGGGGAGCCTTGGGTGTGCTCAGGTAGGGAGAGAGGGCAGAGGTGGTGTAGTTCATGCTGTTGGGGCCGGAAGTGGAAGAGCTGGAGGGGCTGGCGGCCAAGGGTGGGGAGAGAGTGGTCAGCACCACAGCCCCCTCGTCCAGGGAGCGCTTGTAGGGGACCGGGGCGTCTGCCCAGAGTTCCCGGAATACCACGTAGGCCTGGAAGATCTGTGGGCAGAGAAGGGTGATTGGAGGCTAGTGGGGGTGCTGGCCAGTAGCCCCATAGGGGGACACTTTCTCTGCAGGTCACTGCTAGGAGCCCAGATGGCACAGTAGTTAAGCTCTAAGCTGCTAGCCGAGAGGTTGCCGGTTTGAATTCACCAGCTGTTCGTGGGAGAAATAGTCTGTCAGCTTTTATAAAGATTACAGCTGGGCCTCCTGAGAGTTTGGTGCACAGGGCAGTTAGGAGAGCTGATACCCAGCCTTGCACCTAATGGGTATCTGCCTTCTCTCTAATATACCCCACATCTCTGAGAGGGCTCCCAAAGACCAGGGGACCCCGCCTTCTAGACCTCCCCCCTGCCACCTGCTGAGGTGCCCCAGGACCAGGCTGGGGAGGGTGCTCACCCAGACGGGGATGGAGAAGAATGAGAAGGCGATGGCGGCCTTGGCGCTGCTGCTCCCCAGCAGAAATTCCCATGGCTGAGAGCGCTGCCACTGGTTGGCCAGGAAGCAGAAGCCCACGAACCAGACGCAGGCCCAGATGACTGCCGGGCAGTAAGGAGAGAGCAGAGTCAAGGGGAGGGCCACTGGGGTTCCCGTGCTTAGACCTCCTGAAGTGACGGCAGGCATGGTGTCCAACAAAGCAGCAGCTCCCATTGCCACGTGGGCCACCCCCTTGTGTCCCGCTGCTGTGGCTTGTGTGTGGCTGTGATGCTGGGAGAGAGGTCACCAGTTGTCCGGAGACCAGCAGGGTTGCCCACGGTGGACAGCTTTCAGTGGAGCTTCAAGACTAAGTCAGACTAGGAAGAAAAGCCTGGCCAATCTACTCGTAAAACTCAGTCAAGGAAAATCCACCTGGGTGTTGTGTGTACTTTGTCCCCTGGGGTCGCTCCAAACCAAACCCACTGTCATCGAGTTAATTCCCACCCATAGTGACACCTGGGGTCTCCGAGACTGTAAATCTTGATGGGAGCAGTCGGGCTCTTATTTTCTTCCTGAGGAGCAACTGTTGGGCTTGAACTGCCAAGCTTGCAGTTAGCAGCCCTGTTCCTAACTCACAGCCCACCAGGGACCCTTATGGGGTTGCAAGGAGTCCAGTACTCAGCAGTACCCAACAGCAACAGCAGAGATGACTACAGGCTGGAAGTGGGGTTCTGGGCCTCCTCAGCCCCCACTCACTCACTCTGTGGCCTTCTGAGAACCTCCTCCCTTCTTTATGTTTCAGGCAGAGCTGGAAGGAGACCTCACTCCCCACCCTGCAGGGCTTTCTGAGGCTGATGGGATGAAGGTAACATTTCCTGGGAGTCAAGGACGGGGCTCCCCATGCCTTATCCACTTCACCCCACAGAAACCCTGCTCTAACTCCCATTTCACAGAAGGGGAGACTGAGGCCTGAGGAGTTTGTAATTGACCCCACAGCCACTTCATGGTAGATCCAGGCTTCAATCCACAGAATGCCCTGGTAAGCACTCTGCTCGCAGCCTAGAGGGAGCCTGACTTGTGATTGGTGACCCCCGTTTGCCACATGGTGGCCTCATGTGACAGAATGGTACTGCCTAGGTAAGGTTCCCTAGGCTGTCATCCCATGGAGCGGTTGGTGGGTTCGAACCACCTACCTCTCGGTTAGAAGCCAAGCACTTAACCATTGTGCAGCTAGAGCTTCTAACTTAAACATCAAACTCACTGTCCTCGCGTCCATTCCCCCTCATAGAGACCGTGTGGGACAGAGTAGAACTGCCCACAGGGTTTCCTAAACTGGCATCTCTACAAGAGCAGACTGCAAGGGGCGTTCTCCCTGGGAGCCACTGGTGAGTGGTGTGAAACAGTGACTTTTTGGCTGGCAGCCCACTGCTTAATCCACAGCATCTCCAAGGCCCCTTTCATTTCTGGTGCTGTGCTGTGGAGAAAGGCTGCAAATGTCAGGGGGTAGCTGGGCTTGGATTGTTAGGGGCTGTTGAGTCAGCTCTGACTCCAGCGACCCCCTGGACAACAGAAAGAAGCAGTGCCCAGTCCTGCACTGGTCTCACACTCCGTGTCATGTTCAGGACACGACAGCTGTCTCTGAGCCAGCTCCAACTCATGGCGAACCCGTGTGGGCTGAGTGGAACCTTTCAGGAGCAGAGCACCAGGCCTGTGTTCCGAGGCGCCTCTGGGCTTGTCATCGAGTCATTGAGCACTTAACCATTTGTGCCACCCACAGACTCTGAAGGTGGGGCAGGGGAGGAGAAGCTTCTAGAACTAGCTGGATATCAAAAGAAGTGACCATAACACTGAGTGTGAAGGGTGAGAAGAGGGATATGGAGTGGGGAAGCTGAGGAGGGCTCACCGGCCAGGATGAAGTCCAGGACCTGGAAGGCCATCTTGAAGCGTGAGCTGGCGATGCGGCCCTCGTGGGCATCCAGCATGAGGAAGGCCAAGCAGCTGAAGAAGGTCAGCAGGCCAGTGCCCACGGCGAAGTTGCAGGCCACAGAGTTACTGTTGAGGACACAGTGCAGCTGCGGGGATTCCGTCTTGTTCTGGTAGCCGTCTGTCATCAGGGAGGAGAAGACCACCAGGGAGAAAACCTGTGGGGGCACCAGGAGGTTTCTTGGCTCAGGGCGGATCAGACACGTCCTCCATACCCGCTGATTCTCTGTGTCCCCTGCCTTCTGCCTGGCCACAGGGCCGTCTCCCTCCTTCCTCCTCATCCCTCAGAGCTGCAACCTCTATGCCTATCCTTCTGCCCCTGGCTGTTCATCCCCTGCCTTCCTCCTCCATTCTATCAGGCCTCCTTTCCTACCCCTCAGCTCTCTCCCCTGGACACTCACCTCTGCCTCCTCCCCAGACCCCTGCCACCATCTCCTCCTTCTCAACCCCCTGGTTTCCAGTCTGCCCCTCAGTCCATCTGCACACGGCCCCAGAGGGGTCTTTCTCAGTCAGAGCAGTATGGCAGGAGAAAGGAATAAAAAGTATCCAAAGCAGTTTGAGGACTAAGGTGTGTCTGACCCAAGCCATGGAATTTTCCATTGCCTCATATGCATGTGAAAATTGGACGGTGAACAAGGAAGGCCATAGAAGAGTTGATGCATTGGTGTTGGAGAAGACTATTCTAAGTACCATGGACTGCCAGAAAGACAACAAATCTGTCTTGGAAGAAATACAGCAGGATTGCTCCTTAGAAGCTAGGATGGCAAGACTTGGTCTCTCATACTTCAGCAATGTCATCAGGAGGGACCAGTCCCTGGAGATGGACATCACGCTTAGTAAAGTGAGGGGTCAGCAGAAAAGAGGAAGACCTCCAAGGACACAGACTGGCACAGTGGTAGCAGCAAAGGACTCAAGTGTAACAATGATTGTGAGGATGGCGCAGGACCAAGCAGGGTTTTGTTGTGTTGTGCATAGTGTGTCTAGGAACTGGAGCCAAGCTGACAGCACCTAACAACAACAAAGCAGAATGAAAGACAGAAGTCCAATGATCTCTTCCCAGATGACACGATCCTGTGTGTAGAAACCCCCCAACAAGAAAACTTCGAGAACTAACAGAATTTAGCAAAGTTGCAGAGTAGAAGGTTCCCACACAAAAAATTAGGTAGGTTTCTATATACCAGTAGTGAGAAATCAGAAAGAGAAATTAAGGAAATAATCCCGTTGATCATCACTTCAAAGCGAATAAAATAACGTAGGAATAAATCTCAGTGGAGAGGTGAAGGCCTGTGAACCACTGCTAAAAGAGAGGACAGAAGATCTGAAAAGAGGGAAAGACAGTCCGTATTTATGGATTGATAAACAAGAGTGTGAAAACATCAATACTACCCAAAGTGGTCTTGATCAATCCTGATCCAAATTCCAACAGTCTTCTTTATTAAACAGAAAGAAAAACTATCATTAGTTTTGTATGGACCAGCTAGAGGCCCCGAAGAGTCAAAGCAGTTCTGAAGAACAAAATAGAACTCACACATCTGCTGTTAATACATACTCTAAAGCTATAGTCAGCAAAACAGCTTGGCACTGGTATAAAATAGACACATAAATGAGACTCTAGAGGGGTTTGTCTCCACCCAGCACTGCCCCCTGCTCCTCCCCTGCTCATATGTCTTTCATGGCTCCCTAGTGCTCCAGGACAGAGTCCCAGCCCGGAACCTGGCTGTGGAGGTCCCTGTGTGGTCTTGGCCTTCGAGGCCTTCGTGGTCTCTACTCTCTTACTTCCCTAACATCATCTCTTACATCTCACCCCTACCTCACCCCAAGCCACAAGTGGCCTGATGAGATGCTCAGCAAAGTGCCTAGACATAGAGAGAGTTTGAGAAGCATTTGCTACCGGGATGGTTCTCTCAGTCCCCAAGCTCTGCTGTCAGCTTGCTACTTCTCTTTCTGCCCTCCCTGCGTGACCCATTCCTGCTCATGATTGATTTTCCTTTTAAATATTATAAAACATTAAAAATTAAGCAGAATGCAAAGGCAAGAAGTGACTGGCTTACAAGCTTTCAAGAGGAAACCTAGATCCAGAGGGTGTGGAGGAAGGTGGAATCTCCACTGAGTAGTATCCAATCTGTCTAGGCGGGGCTGATGAAATGAAATGCAGAAGGGTCTCTTGTGATACAATAGTGAATAATTGTTACCAGGACTGACTGTGAGTGTTGGAAATATAAAGGTTGACGTTTTATAGCAAGGAGGGAAGTGATTAACTTTTCAGTCTAGGAGCAGAGGTCCCTGGGACCATCAATGGAGAAGAGCGGAGGGCGGGACCCTACCCAGAGAAGCAGTGATGCCTGAGATGGAGGCAGAGACGATGATGTGGAGAGATGGAGCAGCAGGGGACTTTAGATCCAGACAGGGAGAAGGGCTGTGTGTTGATGACCAGGGGAGGGGGGCAGGCTTGCAGGGTATACCCTTTGGTTGGTTGATGATGCATGGAGGGGATTGTAACCATGGCAATGAAACGATATACGATAGAATGAATGTAAAACTAATGTTCTCCCATGTAAACTATCACATAATTCACAATAAAACATTTAAAAAAATTAAACAGAAAAACATAAAGAAGTATAATAAACAGCCAGAACAGACTGCCCAGAGCCCTGGTGGAGTACTGGGTTACACGCTGGGCTGCTAACTGAAGGATCAGCAATTCGAATCTACCTGGCCCTCCACAGGAGAAAGATGAGGATTTCTGCTCTCATAAAGATTTACAGCCTTGGAAATCCTACACAGAGTCTCTGTGAGTTGGAACCAACTCAACAGCACACAACAATAACAGATTATCCTGGTGGCGCAGCACTTACATGATCAGCTGCTAACCAAAAGAGGTGGTGGTGGTTTGAATTCACCAGTGGTACCACGAAAGAAAGGCCTGGAAATCTGCTTTGCAAAGATAAAAACACAAAACCAAACCCAAACCTACTGCCATGGAGTCAATTCTGACTCATAGTGACCCTACAGGACGGACTAGAATGACTCACTCCACAGGGTTTCCAAGGCTGCCATCTTGATGGAAGCAGATGGACACAGCTTTCTTCCATGGAGTTGCTGGTGGGTTCACACTGCTAATCTTTTGGTTAGCAGCTGAGTGCTTAGCCACTGAGCCACCAGGGTTTTTTCTTTACAGATGACAGCCTTGGAAACCCTATGGAGCAGTTCTACTCCGTCCTGTAGGGTTGCTGTGAGTTGGAATCGACTCCATGGCAGTGGATTTGTTTGGGGTTTTCTTTTTCCACTGCCTGGTCCTAAGCCAAACTCCTCTCAGGAAGGGGCTCAAAATTTCAACTCCGGTGACTAGTCGCAGACAGTCACAAAAGCAACATGGGCAGCAGCTATGGGAGGGACTGTGTGTGGTGTGTGGTAGGGGGCTGGGGCAGGAATGGAAGGTGGTCGAGGAAGGCTTTCTGGAGGAGGTGGTACCTATGAGGAGAGGAGTTAGGGAGTCCTGAGGCATGAGGGATTATCCAGGAGAAAGTGGGGAGGAGGCTCAGGCAAGGCTGGGGAGAAGGTTTGGAAAATGGAAAAGCTAGTCATTCCTACTGAAGCAGGGAACAGAATGAGGGGGCAGGTGGTGGGCATGAGGGAGGTGGCTGGAGAGGCAGGCCAAATCAAGAAGGCCCCAGCTGGAGCCAAGAAGAGTGAAGAAATCAAAGATGCATGGAAACAAATGAACCTCAACTTCTATGACCCTGAGACCAGCTACCACTACTGACTACTCTGAAAGGGAATGAATTAGAAGGTTCTGGAAAGAGTGGGAGAAAAATGTGGAACCAAAGTCAAAATCAAAATAGAGCAGGCCTACTGATCAGATTAGAGACTGGTGGAACCCCCGAGACTGGGACTGAATTCATTCTTGTGGTTCAATTTTTACCCAGATAATAGACAGGTCTAAAGGGGAGCAATGACACTAGTGAAGTAGCACTCCCCAGAATTCACAAGCATTTGAAATCAACAGGGCAGCATTTACCCAAGGACAAAGGTCAGAAGGCAAGAAGGGCTAGGAAGGCAAGGAGGAATGGAAACAGAAACCGCAAGGAGGAAGTGAGGCCACACTGTGGAGATTGTATTCAGTGAGCTGCAACAAAATGTATACGAATTGTGTATGAATGATTTGCTCTGAAAACCTACACGGAGTTCACAATAAAAAATTAACATTTAAAAAAGAAAGGGGGTGAAAAATGGACTTAGGAACATGGACATTGTCTGGAGGGCACTAGGGAGCCATGGGAGGCTCATTAGCAGGGGAGGCACACAGCTGACTGTAGGTGTAGAAAGACCCCTCTAGAGCCATGTAGAGGTTGAGGCCTGGGGTGGATGAGGTCAAGTTTTGAGCTGGAACTGAGGTCATAGGGCCGCACTTAGAAAGTGTTAAGAGGGAATTAAGGTCCCTGTTGTAGCTAAGCGCTGTTGAGTTGATTCCAACTCATAGCAACCGTGTTTAGGGTTTCCGAGGAGCAGCTGGTGGGTTTGAACTGCTCACCTTGTGGGTTCTGCTTGTGCTCTACTCCTAATCTAAAAACGGAGTCCTCAAGGCACAATGGTTAAGTGCTTGGCTGCTAATGGAAAGGTGGATGCTACGAAGCCATCCAGTGGTTCCATGAGAGAAGACCTAGGGATCTGCTCCCATAAAGACAGCAGCCTCCAAAGCCCTATGTTGTTGTTGTGTGCTGTTGAGTCGCTTCCGACTCACAGTGACCCTATACAAGGTTTTTGAGACTGTAAATCTTTACAGGAGCAGAAAGCCTCATCTTTCTCCCAAGAATGTTGACCGTGTGGTTCAAATCCATCAGAAATTTCATAGGGCAGTTCTACTCTGTCACATGGGGTCCTAGGAGTTGGAATCAACTGGACGGTACCCAACAGTGACCAAAAAAAGCTAATCTAAAGCTTGGTGGTTTGAACCTAGCCAGCAGTGCTATGGAAGGAAAGTCTTGGTGATCCACTTTTGTAAAGATTTCGGCCAAGAAACCCTCCTGGTACAGTTCTACTTGATAACGCTTAAGGTTGCCCTAAGTCATGACTAACAACAACAAAGGGGACACTCTATCCCCGGATGGTATAAATGGTTAACACATGTAGCTGCTAACCAAAAAGTTTGTGGTTCGAG